GGCACGGCAGAGGAGTGGCAGATGGCGACGAGGACGATGAGGGAGATCTTTCTCCCTCCTCTCCTTCCTTGTCTCTCTCCCTCTCTCATCTTTTCTCTTCAGCAGATCGGATCGAGCGCCGCCGTTCTTTGCCGCCGCTGGAGAGGGTAGTGAAGAGGAGGAAGAGGCGGCACGGTGGATAGCAGGGCAGAAGGGGAGGAGGCGGCGGCGCCGTGGAGAGGGAGGGGAGCGGGGCGGCTAGGGTTGGAGGGGAGGGGATTGGGGCGGACGAGGGAGGGAGGAGCGAGGGGCGCGATGCCGTTTTCTACCTCGCACGGTGTGCTCGCGTGGTGCGCTGCAACCCACGCGCGGCGCGATACGGTGGACTTTTTTTCCTTCGCGTGGTACCGTGCGCTCGATGCCTTCGTTGTGACTACCTACCCCTTCATCCTTTATAAGTTAGATGTTCTCATTGTTTTTCTTTAACCAAACACCATCTGACTGTCAACGAGGGTGTCTGGGCCCTGACTATGCATTTGCTATGGCGACACAGGATATTCAACGACTTTGAGGACATCCTGTCCTCTCATTTTCTTGAACTGTGGCTCAACGCTTGTGGGTGGTGGGCGAGAATCAATCAGGATCTTAGGAAGAAAGTTGATGCTAAAGAGCTGCCTCGGAGTTGCTACACTGCATTTTCATGGAGTTTTATCCTATGCCTTCCTGTTATCTTTGTGATCCTGGGCTTAGTGTACCTTATACAGCTCGTCTACTTTTTTGGGCATTTTGTCTGCGTCGTCCTCTCATGGTGGCGCATAATACAGCGTGATTATGGAAGCAACGATGGAGATGGCAGCAAAGCAAACCTGATGCCAGCTCTAGACATATTCTATTCTTTGGTTCTCTGCCAAGGTGCATTCTTGTTTATATGGCTGTGGCTCCATCATGGGGAGATGTGGCCTGTCGTTTTTCTGCGACGAGCATGCAAGTTCCCAGAGAAGTGGGGCAGCAGATCGGTCTCAGAGTACCTCTTGGACACACAGGCGAAATGCTGGCGGGACCCTGCGTCCATCCATGGCAGGAAATTGATCCACTACGCCGTCGACTTGCTGGGCTCTGAATCACAGCAAGACTATCTCTCGGGGGCAAGGATGCTCGACACCTTCATTAAGCTGGATGCAGATGTAAGATCACTTCTTCTTCCCTCGAGGCCAAAGATTGTGAAGCTGATCGATACACTGGGGTGGAGAAGCAGCGATAGAGAGATCAGGGAGCTCGCCGCCAGGATTGTCGCCTATCTTGCAGGTGAGATCCATCTAACCCAGTACCCTGGGGCAATACGGTGTCCCTGCTCGATACTAGCCTGCCATATTGGAACAACCAACAAGGACACAATCATTGCTCAACTCAAAATAAGTCAGAAATGCCTATTAATGCTAAAGAAAGATTGATTCATTATGTCAGAAATATAGAGGAGCACAGAGCAAAAAGGATTGAACTCAGAGCAAAAAAGGTTAAAACCCAAGCGGGTGACGCCCAACAAGATGAAGCGGATATCCCAATTCATGGCAGCAAAGGAGATGGCTGGAACGAGTTAATTCTGCAAGGCATGACAATTCTTGAGAAGCTCGCGACCGACCAACAGAACTGCAGCGACATCTGCAGCACCCCTGATCTCCTCCCCAAGATCATGGCGCCTCTTCACTCTGAGACACTAATCCAAGATATCAGTATAGATGCATGGGCAGATATAGTAAACGGATCGTTGATAGTGGTTCACAGGCTCATCCATGCTCCTGAGTGGACAGGCAGAAGGGTGCACTCTGAAGTATGTTCTAGCAAACATGCCGTGAGCAACCTGGAGGAAATTCTTGATGAGGGCAATGGAAATGTCGTAGAACTGCAGATGCGGGCCATGGAGATCCTGACAGAACTGGCTATGGATATGCAAACTGATCTCAGCAGTAAAACAATAGTAAATCTCATCAAGAAGCAGCTGCAGATCTTCCTTGCTGACGGTGAACCGGAAGAACAAGACACCAAGCTCGTCACGAAAAGGCTGAAAGTAACGGCTGGTAAAACATTGGCACTATTATCCAAGACAGTAACTATATCTGCGCTTGTAGGGAGGGAATATGAGAACATTGTTGAATTACTTGATGCTAAGAACACGATTGTATACAGAACAATAGCAGCAGAGATCTTGGAGAATTTGTGTAGTCACCATCAAATGGACAAGGAACATGTGAAGACTATCTTGCTGCCAAAGGTAACGGTTTCAACCTGTTTATCTAATTCAAACATCTTCTAGAGCAGCACAACACTAGCAAGTTCAAAACATAAAACTGTAACTATGTACAATTGAGTTTCGCAAAAGGAAAATATACTAATTGAAAAGTTCCCGCTGCCTCACATTTACCAGTCTCGTGCTTATTATTGCAGCTACTCACACAAGTGTTGAACAGCCAAAGAGAACCCACAACTGAAGCATCTCAAAGCAATGTTTCTGCATCGGGCGATGATGCAGAGCAGCAACAGCTTTCTATACTGGGAAATGATGAAGAAAAACAACTTTCGGAGCACAAGAGCCAAAATAAGTCCACCGATCAAACAATTGAGGAGCGAACTGCTATGATGGAATTGCAAGAAGCGTTCTTATCTCTTATTTTGGTGATATGCAGCAAACAGATCAGTGCAGATGACCTCAACGTCGTGGCTCTAACGATCGTCACAGCAGAAGGTGAATTTGTGGCGAAGCTCAAGACTATAGTAGAAGAGAACTGTGAGGCCACGGCTAACAGCCTAAGAATTGTCAAGCTTTGCGGTCAGATTGCTCTTACAATGATGCGGCGCGGCCAGTACAGCGCACACTTCAAGGATCAGAAATTCATGGAGACACTGTCTAAGGCTTCGACAATCATGTCTAACCTTGAAAGCTGCATGCTCTTTGCTGGTACTGACTGTGGAGCCAAGAAGACTGTCAGGCCCCTCTTCTCGGATCTTGTGAAAGAGGCACAAGCGTTGGCTGCTTAAAAAATGTATTTTTAATCATTATTTTCTACCATTGTGATGCCTTATTTCTTTATACTATATCAAACAATTGTGTCGTCTCTATTTCTCTTTGCCAAAGAAGATTGCGTAACTGAAATTGTACACACATTTTATGGAACAAGTAATTTGCTATGTTACAGCCAGTTTGTACCTGAAGAAGATCAATGCTACGTACCCATTTTGTTTCTATCCTGAAACGTACCCAAATCTACCAGCCTTGATGACAAGGCGCCATAACAAGAGCAAGGACGTTGGGGACGGGGACTCACCGACGGATTTTTCTCCGGAGAGTGCCGCGACGAGGCGGCGATTCCGGCTGGCATCCCCACCGGAAGAGGATAGATGGAGTGCGTGGGGCGGATGGGTTTGGGAGGGAACAGCGCCGCCTTGCGAGTTCTGCGGCTCGTCCGGCGGCGGCTAGGGTTTCCGTCATCCCCAATTCCGGTATGAAACCCCAACTCCGCACGTGGCACGCACACTTTCGGCCTTCCTTTCCACCGCCACGCCCTTGCCTCTACGCGCCGCTGCCTCGGCCGCCCTCGTCACCGATGCCGCCGCCTACTCCTCACGCCGCGTGGCTGTGCTCACGCCGTCCTGATCCGGCGACGTGCGGCGGGCAGGATGAGGTAGGTGCCTCCTTTCTTAGCCTTCCGTGTGTGCCCCCGAACGGCAGATCTGCGTTGCTCGTAGCAGTCGTAGGTACCATTCCTCTGATTGCTTCAGGTTGCAGGGGATTTTTTTTTTCTCAAAAAGAGGGGAAAAAATCGGCCTCTGCATCGAGTGTCAGGTTGCAATGGATGATTGGCCAATAGAGCACCAACATTCAAGCATCTCCTGGATCAGTCTTGCCTGCAGTCTTGATTGTTCAAGATCTACAACTGCGAGAATACCGAACGATTGTTCTTAATTGAAGTCCAATGCGTTGTTGTTCGTTGAGTGTTCTTAATCGAACTCTTCCTAACCATGTTCCACAGGACAATCTGAATACTCTGCTTCAGTTCAACTGTTTTGCGGAGAAAATGCCTTTCAAAACAAATTATAGGGAGAAAAATATAACTGTAGTTTAGTTTTTATTTCTTATTACAACAGCATTGTTATCTTTAGTCCTAACCACAAAAATATTACGTGCATCCATGGCTTGGCGTTGGGTTTGGCTTGCAGCACGAATTAATCAGCTAGTTGCCCATTCAACCTGTAAGCCACCCGTTTCTGATCCCATCCCCATAGAAAGAGATGACGAAGCCAACCACAAATGAAACTGCCGCAACCCATATAGCCGAGCTGTGATCTTCGGTGCTTGTCATCACGTCTGAAGCGTTGGCGGTACTGTTAAGAAGATCTGGATTTCCTGTGGAATCGACTGCCACAGATGATCGAAATGCTGGAAGGGATCCTGACAGCTGATTATAAGAAAGCACTAACTGTGTCAAGCTTTGCAAACCTTCGAGCGAGGATGGTATCGGGCCAGACAAGTCGTTGTAGGAAAGATCAAGGATCTCCAGGTCCTTCAAAACACCAATATTTGAAGGAATAGACCCACTGAGATGGTTGTGACTTAGATTCAGAAGTGCACTCAAGCTGGTCGGCATTGTGGGGATGACACCAGTGAGCTCATTATCCCCGAGATGAAGCTCAATAAGAGATTGCGGTGAACTGATTGAAGTTGGAATGACGCCAGTGATCTTGTTGCCTTGCAAATTTATGTTTGAAAGCCGTGGTAGCTGGAAAATTTCATGTGGTATCTCTCCAGTAAATGAGTTTTGGCTAAGGTTCAGTAGATTCAAGTTCACCAGATTGACAAGTGTGCTTGGTATATGTCCATCAAAATTGTTTATTTGGAGTTTCAGAACAGACAGGCTATCAAGTTTGCCGATCTCAGTGGGCACTGCACCATTCAACTGGTTGCTTGCCAGATTCAAGAGAGCCAACTTACTGCATCTGCCAACATGCCGGGGTATGCCTCCCACCAAGTAGTTATTGTTCAGCTCAAGATAAGACAAGCTTGAGGCATCACCAATCGAGCCTGGGATGCTGCCACTGAGCAAGTTCCCTCCGAGACAAAGGCGATAGAGGCTGCGAGAGAATCCTCGCGGGATGTGCCCTTCAAGCCTGTTGCCGGTGAGATCAACGGTATGCAAACCAGCAGCCAAGAACAGATCAGAAGGTATCTCACCACTAAGCTTATTGTAACTCAAATCCAACATCTCGGTATTCATGGTGATTTCACTAGGTATCAAGCCACTGAAGCTGTTGCTAGATAACACCAGTTCCTTCAAAGAGTGGACCATAATTGTTGGGAGGCTACCACCAAGTGTATTGTTACTAAGGTTCAAGCTTCTTAATCTGGGCAAAGAACTCAACTGTTCGTCTACATTTCCACCCAGCAAACTGAAGGAGAAATCAAGAACCTCCAGTTTGCGGAAACCAGTGAAGTCGCCGAGCGGTCCAGGCAACTGAGAGTAGCTCAAATTGAGCGTGCGCAATCTAGCACCCAGGGGGCATGAGGAGAGCTGCCGTGGCAGATCGGTGAACCTGTTTTTTGAGAGATCCAGAGATTCCAAGGTATCAAGGGAGCATAAGCAGGCAATTACGGTGGAGTTGGAGAGGCCAAAGCGAGACATGGAGAGGTGGTGCACAACTGCAGATGAACCAGGGCAGTTAGACGGCACAGAGCAAGTGACCCCACTCCACAGGCACGGGTTCGGGTCGGTTGTGTCCCAGTGGCTCCACGGAGCCATGGCGGAGACCATGCTTGAAAGGTTTCTCATGGTGCTTTCCTGTGCTTTGTTTAGCCGCAGAGGTTGCACACGGGCCATGGGCAAATCAAACAGCAAGAAAAACAGCAGCGCTAGCAATAACCCATGGTGAGAATATGAGCCATACCTGCTCTTCTCCATGGCTACCTCTTCTCTTCTGTAACCTATCGGGTCAGCTGTTTGCAGGTGTGGTGATGGTGGTGTTGCAAAGGGCTTGATCGATCCACTATCATATGTGGAAGAAGATGGGTAGGAGAAGCAATGGTAGAGAAAGTAGCAATGGTCAGATTAGTGGCGCAAGACCCCATCTGCGGCGTACACGAAGGGGGTCAACTTTGACTCAAAGTGATGTGGCGCCTCACAGCATCAGGTTGGTATCAATCGTCATCGTTACCTCGTCAGCTTGCAAGTTTGAACCGTGTTCTATTCATCGGCAAGTGGTCTGATCTGTGGAATAGTACCACTAGCATTTACTCATTTACCAGTAAGAATGGTGGAATGGTCTATTCTAAGAAGACCGTAAGTCAATGCCAACACTAAACATAAAAATAAACCACAAATATGATGATTTTGTGCTCAAAATCTGTTGTTCTGGAAGTAAACCTATGTTTTGCACAATTATTTCGGCGTTTCTACATATTTTCTTATCATGCCTGTATTTTTAAGCAACTATTTTGAGCTAAAAATTCGTTCAAGGAAATTAAGCAATGGCTGATGAGATTAACGTTGCTGACATGCCTTGGGGCCTTAATCCGCCAATTTAAGATGCGTCCACCATTAGGATTATTCGGCACCACGTGTATCCTTTCACTCATATTACTATCATTTTCCTCTAAAAGAAAAAAAAATTAACGCATGTGTTTCCCAACAGGTTTTACTTTATTTACAGTAGAATATCTTAATGCAACTTTTGCAAACTTTGCTACTTTACCTTTGAACTAAAGGAAAGAAAATGAGCTGTTTTCAGCACCCTTGTGTTGGCTTATATTGGTAAATTTGAATATTGATGTACATTTATGCTATGCAGTGATAGCTTAAAACTGAATAACTGTTTAGTAAAGGCACTGAAGATTAAGGGCAGCCCCAGTGCATGTAGCTCCCGCTTGCGCAGGGTCTGGGGAAGGGTCCGACCACTTTGGGTCTATTGTATGCAGTCTTTCCCTACATTTCTGCAAAAGGCTGTTTCCAGGACTTGAACCCGTGACCTCTTGGTCACAAGGCAGCAGCTCTACCACTGCGCCAAGGAAGATTACTGATAATTTTGGTTCTAGTTCCCTGGAGATCGTATGACAAATTGCTGGACTCATGAGATGTTTCATTGGCTAATACTCATGAGACCGTGTGACAGATTGCTGGATTTGTGCAATATGGATTCCCTCCTCACACAATAAGTTTGAAGCATATACTTTCAGAGCCTTCTTTAAATGTTTTGGCAGCAGAGAGTTGGTTTTACTGTCAATTTATACAGAAGTAGTGCTAATTAAAATTAGCATTTTTTAATACTTGTATCCACTATTTCCGAACTAGGCTTTCGTCCCGCTTTATAGATAAAGCAAACATCCATACAATCAAGTACCAATCACGATAGCAAATAAGACGGCTGGGGCCACAGCACAATCACACCCAAGAAAGAAAGAAGAAACATAAAAAGGCCACCGGGTGGCAAACTAAGAAGCCGTCGTACGGGTGGAAACAAGGACCTCACTTGTATCCACTATTGGCAACCACTTATCATTTAGTTTTATGAGAAACACAACAACCTGAGCATTTGTAACATTCGTACGATCAGGGATGCTAGATAAGTGTCACTCATCTATTGGAAAAGACTCAAAGAGGCCTAGAAGCAAACCTTTTCAGCTTAGCTGCACATCACATGTTTGAGGGCTAATCCATTCCGTTATTACTTCAGCAGGTTGCAACATCAACAAAAGGCGCTGTACCTCCGTTGGTGGCATGTAACATTTGCCATCTCAATCAGAATCATGTCTCTGGACAGTTTGTTACAAGGCTCCTATCCCCCTTGGAAACTGCATGCCAGAACTGAAAAAAAGAGCTATCATTTCTCTCAACCACTCTCATGACACCAGAATTTCTGTTCTGTTCTGTGCTTCTCTGACAGCAGTTGTTACCGTGCTCGTCTCCTTGGAGCCAGACAGATAGCCAGCCAGACAAGAGTGCCCAGAAAGCTAGCGTCCCTGCTTCAGCGCCACTCCTGCAGATTTTTCTACGCGAGCATTGTGAGTTTTCTGTAACTTCTTTTAGGTGGCAAGTCATTGTTCTTGCTTGTTGCTACTGGGAAACTGGTTGCTTGGGGCTAGCTGCTGGTGGCCAGTGTGCTATTGAAGTGGAAGCAAAGAAACCAGCGGCCTCTCACCTCCATATAAACCTCCGGGAGCTTGTGAATGTTTCTTGCAGCCCAGATCCTTGAGGAGGCAGAACGTCCATGGCATCTGATCGCGTCGAGGTCGACACCGCCCGCCCTTTCCGGTCCGTGAAGGAGGCGGTGGCGGTGTTCGGGGAGCACATCCTCGTCGGCGGGAGCAACTCCAGATACAGCAGCAGTGCGGTTGCCATTGCCGATCCGCATGCCAATGCCACCCCTAACGCCAAGCACGAAGATTGCAGTAGGAGCAGTACCGCCACCCTTTCTCCAGATGCAATGGCAGAGGTAGATGCGGAACCGGTGCATGAGGCAACGGCAGCTATTGTGCCTATGTACTCCGCGCACTCCTCGCCGTCGTTCACGTCGCCGCGTTCGGCGTATGGCGACGACGGCGAGCTTGGTTGCCAAGACGACGAGGCCGGGCTCGCGGTCGTGAGCTCCATCAAGAAGCTGGAGGCGGAGGTGGCCGATACGAGACGGGAGGTGCTGCAGCTGAGGAAGAGGGGCACCGAGATGGAGATGGCCGTGGCCAGCCTCAACGCGCAGCTCCACCGAGGCCTCTCGAGGCTGGCCGAGATCGAGGCCGACAAGGCTGCGGCGGCGGCACGGTGCAGCATCCGTGGGGACGCCGACGTGATGGCGGCGGCCATGGTGCGGAGCGAGCGGTGGGCGGAGAAGTCCAGCACGTACAGCAGCGAGTACCTGCCGTCCTTCAGCCACGCGCTGAGCCTCGGCGAGATCGACGACGACCTGCTCGGCGGCAGGAGGAGGAAGGCGCAGAAGGTGAAGCCCATCGTGCCCCTCATCGGTGACATCCTCTTCTCCAAGAGTTTCTCCAAGAGGAAGAGCGGCAAGGACAGCGGGGATCTCTCCGGCGTGTTAGGGTGATCATCACTTGCTTGCTTCGTGCTCAGGTTGTGGCTGCTTGCGTTGCGTGTGGTTTGGATGGAGCATGTGCTTTCTTTGGTCCTTTCTTTCTCTTTGGTTGGGGTTTTTCATTTTTCTTTGTGCGAGCCTGTAAATGTAAAATATTGATGAATGCTTTGTATCTACCCCTTCGTCTCAAAATGGAAGATCATTTCTTACACTATCATAATGTAAAAAATGATGTTATATTTTGAGGATGGTTTCAGTGGCGGAACTAGCATCAGATCACGCCTAGGGCTAAATTAGCTTGAGTGTTGCACTTGAGTGATTTTGTATAGTATTTTATAAGAAGGAACTACAAAGGCAAATGTTGCTAGGCCTAGGGCTATAGCCCCAACTGCCCTAGGCCTGTCTCCGCCACTGGACGGAGGGAGTATGTTTTAGGTGATGACCGTTATCTGATTTGGCTAGCTGTTTTAGAGTAGAGTTATTCGGCTTGCAATCCGTTTGCCATGGTTTATAAAAATAAAGGCATGTAAATAAAAACACGACAAAACAAATCAGACATGCTAAAAAGCACAAAAGTGTACAACTAGACTTCGCGGCACACCGCCAAAAATAAGCACATGATATAACCTGAACATGGAAGGGAAATGACACACCACGTCGCTGTCGCGTCTGCCTTAAGAGAACAAGAGTTACCACCCTTGGTGCTGGCAAAAAAGGGTTGGTAGAGAAATCAAGGCAACACCCCCAGAGGGACACTAACACTCGCAAGCATTGTCACCATCGGCACCTTGCGCGAAGCTTTCGCTCGATACCTCCCGCACACCTCTCTGAAGGGACCCAAACCACCATGTGTTAGAGATATGACGGGCAAAACAACATGATGAAGAACAAAAACAAGCAGGAGACACAAGATTTAACGTGGAAACCCCCTCCAACGTGAAGGGGGGAAAACCACGGGCGCCAGCCAGCAAATTTTCACTATATCGGGGGAGGTTACAAACGCCGGGGATTATCAACTGATCAACTCATCTCGTGTGGCGTCTTACAAAGGATATATATAACACAGGTGAACTAGGTCAATACAGATCCGTACCGCCGGGAGGGGGGGCAGGCATCCCTGTTGGGGGCGGCCCACCAGCCACTAGGGCTAATGAGTTATACCAACTAAGCTAAGTCTAAGCAAACCTCAAACTTAGCGACAAGAACTGGCTTTGTTAACATATCAGCAGGATTATCAGGAGTACTAATCTTGCATACCTTTAGTTTACCTTACTCAACAATGTCTCCGACATAAATGGTATTTGACATCAATGTGCTTTGTTCTCTCATGGAACATCTGATCCTTTGTGAGGTATATGGCACTCTGACTGTGAAAGGGCATGTAGCCCCTAAGTGTGGTTTTGGTAATTAAATGACAATCTCTATGGACTAATGTTTTCAGTGAGATATATTTGAAGGTTTTGTCCATAGATAGTGCCTCAAGGATATTGGACGGAATCAAGGATGAAGTCCATATATATGAAGATAGTGCCTCAAGGATATTGGACGGAATCAAGGATGAAGTCCATATATATATATATGAAGATAGTGCCTCAAGGATATTGGACAGAATCAAGGATGAAGTCCATATATATGAAGATATATTTGCCCTATGCTTTGGTACTAAATGACAATTCCTATGGAGCATCAAGTGCATTTAATCTTATATGAAGATATGTTCCATAGTGATGCTTGAAGTGCATTGGGCTGTTTTGTGAAGTCTGCCATCAAAGCATCCGAAGAAGTCCTCATGGTATCCTTCTTTGGATACCCCGTGCACACGGGCTTGTACCATGCGCACGGGGTCGAGTGTCAACTCTCTGGATACCCCATGCTTACTGGG